TGATCTTATTTCTCTCTCTCTCTGGCTGCTTTTAGTAGTCTGTCCTTATCGTTGATCTTTGCCATTTTAATTACTATATGTCTTGGTGTTGTGTTCCTTGGGTCCCTTGTGTTGGGAGATCTGTGGATCTCCATGTCCTGAGAGACTATCTCCTTCCCCAAATTAGGGAAGTATTCAGCAATTACATCCTCAAAGACACTTTCTAACCCTTTTTCTCTCTCTTCTTCTTCTGGTACCCCTATAAGGCAAATATTATTCTGTTTGGATTGGTCACACAGTTCTCTCAATATTCTTTCATTCTTAGAGATCCTTTTTTCTTCTCTGTGCCTCAGCTTCTTTGTATTCTTCTTCTCTAGTTTCTATTTCATTTATTGTGCCCTCCACCATATCTAATCTGCTTTTAATACCCTCCATTGTGTTCTTCAACAATTGGATCTCTAACCTGAATTCATTCCTGAGTTCTTGAATATCTTTCCGAACCTCCATGAGTATGTTAATGATTTTTATTTTGAAATCCCTTTCAGGAAGATTCATGACATCAATGTCATCTTTCTCAGGAGTTGTATTAATTTTACTTTGAACCAAGTTCCTTTGGCATTTCATATTTGTATATGGTGCCCTCTAGTGTCCAGAAGCTCTACTCTCTGGAGCTGCTCTGTCCCTGAAGCAATGTCGGGGGTCGCAGGGGAGTGGTATTGTTGCCTGGGGGGAGGAAAGAGCTGTTTCCTGCTTCCTGGCTGCTATGCCTGTCTCCATTGCCTGAACCAGTGGGCAAAGCACACAGGTATAAGCCTCTATGCTTTGTGTTTGTAGTTGCTGTAAACAGATCTTCCCTTTGGCTGGCCTAACACCAGGGTAGGGTTTGCCGGTTTGCGAGCCAGGTGGGGCTGGCCAGGAGAAAGGTGCAGTAGGCTGTGTATCATGGAGGGGGTCCTTGAAGCTGTGTAGCCAGCCAGGGAGCTGGAGCACCTGAACATCATGAAAGCTCCCAATTTGCTGGGCAGAGTGCACCCAGACGATTTTGTCTACCTGTCTTTTCTCCTGAGCTGTAAGCTCTGTGAAATCCTTGCCCCTTTAGCAGCCTTCTTGCTAAGCGCTACCTTGTTAGGAAGTCTCTCAGACTGCCTGTCTTTCTTTTGTCCCAGAGCAGCTGGATATGGATCCCTGCTTTCCACAAGCAGCTGGAATCTGTCTCACCAGGAATTCTGCCTGTCTTAACTTTCCAATTCCCTAATCATGAGAGTATCATGAAATGTAGGTTTGTGATCCCAGAGTAGATCTCCAGAGTTAGTTATTCAGCAGTCCCAGGCCTCCACTCCCTCCCCACCCTGTTTCTCTTCCTCCCGCCAGTGATTTGGGATTGGGGAAGGGCTTGGGTCCCGCCGGGCCACAGCTTTGGTTACCCTGTTCTGTGAGGTCTGCTCTTTTCTCCAGGTGTATGCAGTCTGGCACAGTCCTCTTTCTTGTTGCTCTTTCAGGATTAGTTGTATTAATTATATTTTCATATTACATGCAGTTTTAGGAGGAAGCCTCTGTCTCACCTCTCACACTGCCATCTTTAATTCCTACTGGGGGCGAGTACTTTTAAAAGTTTGTGGACCACATGGCAAAACTATGGCCTGTAGTATGTTAGAACTAAAATCATGTTCCTATAGAGATTATGGCATTTTTTTAGTTGGAGTAGGAATGATAGCATGTGCTAAATATTTTTGGATTCAGATTTGCCTTCCCCAACCATTAAGCTTTTGTCTATGTATTATAATCCATTAGGTGGAATGTGTTAGACAGCCTTTAAGGTGTCTGCTTAGCTTAAAGAAACAGTCTTTCACTGACAATCTTTAATCCTTTCCTAACTCACAGAGTAGAAGTTGAAGCCCTGTTTTCACTCTGTGATCCCCCACCCCCTTAAAGAAACCTGATTGGAGTTGGGGTAAATGCCCGTAATAGCCGAGCTAATCAGTGTCTTTCTCCTTATATTTTGTAACTGAACCGAAGACAGATGGCCATCTTGAATGGTGGTTATCAGAACTCTAGAGCTGAGGTTGCCATTGCAGAGCCATGTGCATGGAAAAGGAGTAAGTTCTATACAGTGAGGAAGCAGATGTACAGAGAAATTTAGAACATTATATACCTCCTTTCCAACCTCTTTGCTACTCTTCTTAAATATTTTGATTTTATATTGTTTATATTGTTGGAGCATGCAATTGTGGGAAGGGAGCCACAGCCAAAGAATGTGGGCAGCCTCTAGAATAGGGAAGAGGTAAGAAAATGGGTTCTCCTCTAGAGCCTGGAGATGGAACACAGCCTTGCAATCACCTTGATTTTAGCCCACTCAGACCCATTTTAGACTTCTGAGCTCCAGACTACAAGATAATAACTTTGTGTTGTTTCAAGTCACTACATTTCTGGTAATTTGTTACAACAGCCATAGGAAACTACTACAGCCGGGCTAGAAGGAATTCCTCTGCAATTTTTAACATGCCATTGTCGACTCTCCTCCCAAGACACCTTGGACTTTCAATTCTATGTAGATTTGAATAACTGAATTTCAGAACGGAGAGGGGCCTTCATGGAGCACTTGAGGTAATGTTACTTGGCTATTCAGTTTTCCTGGTGAGCATGTTTTATATTCAAAAGAGATGGCTGAGTGGTTGAACTGTATTTTGGACAGCTAGGGGAACAAAATATGGAATCTAGGAACTGTTAAGAGTGGTGACTCTGGTAAACCATGTTTGGACAGCACCCTCAGAGGTAAAGGCAAACCAGACTGAATTAGTCCCCCAAAGGCTCTCAGTCATCTGGCTTAGGGTGATCATGTTTGTTGGTCCCCTAAGATGTCTGCCAGAAGAAAACAAATCATGAAAAAAAAAATCATCAAAGTCTTCATGTTATTTTTTCAAGTGTTTCAATTACGATGTTCTGCATATAAAAAGATAGTCAAGTAATAAGACAACAGGAGTGAGAACCAGCATAAACAATTCACAACAAATAACTAGAACAAAGAACTAACAACAAATCCAACGAGACTCCAGATGCTGCAGTTATCAGACTCAGATAATACCCCAATGATGCCTACTATATTCAAAGAGATAAAAGCCAAGATTAACCATTTTGACAATGAATTAAATACTATAAAAATGAACCTAACATGTTTTTAAAAGAATTAAATATAAATTCTAGAAGCTAACATTGCTAAACAAAACAATACCCCCAAAAAACAAAATAAATAGCTCTCTCTCCTTAACACCATAGGAGAGAGAATTCATAGTCTAGAAAATACATCAGAAAAAAAGTTATTCAAAATGAAGCATGGCAAAATAAAAGGATGGAAAATTTAAGAAAAGTTGGCAAGAAAATAGTAGATAGAGAAGCTCTAACATACATTTAACTGGACTTATAGAAAGAGAGAAAAGTAGGGCAGAAGTAATATTTGAAGAGGTAATAATGGCTAAGGATCTTCCAGAACTCATGAAAGGCAACAATTAATGTATTCAAGAGACCAGTGCATCATAAAAAAAAAAAAGAACCACAAATAAAAAGAAACACATTTCTAAACATACATAGTAAGAGCAGAAAATCAAAGAGAAAAGTATCTTAAAAGCAACCACGGAGAAAAAAATCCAATGACATTCAAAGGAACAGCCACATTGACAGCTGACTTTTCACAGGTAACAAGAGAAATCAGAATCTTGTGATGATTTTTAAGTGTACCTACTGAAAGAACATAAAGTGCTTCTATCATCACATCTCCTCTGATTCTCTTGCCTTCCTTTTTCACATATAAGGACCCTTGTGATTACTTTGGGCCTACAAGAAATCAAAGATAATCTCCCTATCACAAGATCCTTAATTATGTCTGCAAGTCCCATCTGCAATATAACATATTCAGAGGTTCTGGGGACTGGGATGTGGACATCTATGCTGGGCCATTATTGTGCCTGCCACATTACCAATATAAAAAATGCTCTCACTCCTTATGTAAGTGGCTCTTTTCTTCTACAAAGCCCCATGGAAAAAAGGAAATCAGTATTTAAACCACCACCAACCTTTAACCTTGATGAGGAAAATATTTTTATCCCAGTTTTAAAGATCTGAGATTGAACAGGAGAGAGGTTAGGTAACTTAACTGAGGTTCATCTAGCTGGTGAAGTGTCTGATTAGCTATTTGTAGCCACATCACCGGATTAGTCTCTATTACTCCAACCAAGCTTTTTCCACCACACCAAGTACAGCTATTGCTTGGCTTATCAGTGTATGATTATGCACTGTATGAATGAGTCTCTTAGGCATCAGTTTCCGTATCTGCAAAATGATAGCTGGACCTTATGACACCTTTTCCAATTCTCTTCCTGCTGGGACATTCTCTGATTCAGAAAGAAGCCCCTAACTTCAAGATGCCTCCCACCTTTGGGTTGGGTGGGCTCTAGGATGACTGAATTCAAGTTAGAGGCATCTGAACTATTTCAGAGAAAACCAACTGCAGACCTAAGGGGAAAAAGTGATGGGCAAGGAACGAAGAGGACGAGATGAAAGAAGACGACAAAATATAGAGACGGAAACATAAGAAGCATGCAAATAACATAAGTAAGCTGCAAATAACTCAAGATAACGATCAACGGGTGTCAAGCGTTCACGAGGCTGGTTTTTGCGGATGCAGAGTGAAACACTGTTCTCTCGCTCAAGGCGCTCACAAAAGGCTGGGTTACACTTTGTATTCAACCGGCGGACATACCTTCCACCTCTCTAGGAGCCTGGCTGTGAGAAATATAAGAAAAACTGAGAAATGCAAATACTACAAACGTCTGAGTGTAGCAGAGGCAACGCGAAAATAGTCTTGCAACAAATGGGACACCCCAGGCCTGGCCTAAGCAGACACAAATAGGGAACCGCCTCTGCCCTCAGAGACCCCGCTCTGCTTCCCAGCCCGCCGCGCCGCGGGGCTGCCAGCGACCGCCGCCCCGGTCGCCCACGCCTGGCCCCTGGGGCCGCGGAAGTGACGCAGGACGCTCCGCCCCCGCCGCTGGATCCGCCGCTGCTGCCGCGGCGGGCAAACCTGCAGGAGGAGGCGGCGGCGGCGGCGGCCGAGGCCGAGGGAAGATGGCGGACGGCGTGGACCACATAGACATTTACGCGGATGTGGGCGAAGAGTTCAACCAGGTACGTAAGGGCCTGGGCGCTCGCCGCCGAAGCGGGCGGCGCTGTGGCCGAGGCGCTGACCCAGGCCCGCCGCGGGCCGCAAGCCGGCGCGGCTGCAGACAGTGCGCCTGTGCCTCCTGCGGGCCATCCGCCGACCCCAGCGCGGCGCCTCCTCGCCGCTCGTTCTACGGTGTCGTTACGCAGGCCGCGGGTCCTACGGCCTCCGCGGGGCCCGGAGCGCGACCGCCCGCCGCCGTGCAGCCGCCGCCGGCTCCTCCCTCGCGGCCGCCTCGCTCCCCATTGTTGGCGGCGGCGGGCGGACGCTTCCCGCCGCGCTAGGCCGGGCGGTGGGCCGCGTGTGCGCGGGGAGAGAACTGGGCGCCCGCGCCCCTCCTCTCCCCTCCCCCGCCGCCGCGTCGGGGGGGAAGGCCGGCGGAGCGCGCGCCGCCCGCCCGCCGCGTCCTGGCCTTCCCGCTCGGGCCCCGCTGCCTCGCGTTGCTCCATTTTGTGCCTCTGTCGATGCGCGGTCGCCTCATGGAAGGCCGCGCTCACGGCCCTTTGTATCCCGCGCGCCCAGTTTCCTGGGCTCTCCTGCCCGCGTTTGCGCCAGGTTTTGGCCTGGCGCCTTCCTCCTGCTCCCTTCACACTTTCCCAAGGCGGCTTAGGTTGTGGGCACGTTCGCAACAAGTCCTTAGACTTTGGGATCAGAAATCGCGTTCAGAGTCGGTGCGCTGGCCCTGCCTCTGTGTCGGGGACTTGCAGTGCCTTTGAGGCCCACTCGTTCTTGACCTGTGATGAAAATAACCTGTGAAGATAGGTGGCCGGGCCCAAAGGAAGACTGGAAGCGCGGTGGTTGGATGGAACAAAAAAAAACGGTAGCTCACCGAGAGATCAGAGAAGTGATTAAAATAAAAACCGTCCACCCGAAATTGCCATGGTGTAGTTTAAACATAAAGGGTTGTAAATATGACCCATTTTTTAAAGCGTAATGTTAAATGCCCTCCGAAGGATGTCCTTTACATTGTGAAAGGTTGGAGAAAGTGAGAATGAAGGTTTATCCGGTATCTTCCGCCACAGTTGCTTAAGAAGAATTAGCTGCGGAGTGGGATGTCTGTTGTTGGGCATCCTCGCAAAAGACCTCGCTTGTACTAGAGTAGTGACGTTTAAGCCTAAGCCTGCCGTTCACATTTTTACTGCCTCTTACGTAGTAACAGTTTTTAAAACCGAATTGTGCCTAACCGCAGTGCAACTAAAAGCTTTAATTTTTTTGTATTTTCCAGGTCCGTTTGAGAAGCTTAATAAAATTCTATTGGTTAATGTTTCTGTGTCCCACCTCGCCCCGCCCCCCAGTAAGCATCTTGTTTGTGACTAGTGGTTGAAGATTTTTTTTTAATAGGGAAAGCTAGAAATTGTTAGCTTTTTTTTTTTTTCTTCAGGGAATCTGTGCCCTTGGTTTAAATATTATTAGAAAAGAAAAAAATTTTCCATTTAGTTGTGAATGTTTCTTTCCTAGTGCGTTAAAGACGGGATATGTTTAAATAGAACCCATTGTAATCAAACTTTGTTTTAATATCTTTGTTATTTCATTGTGCTTATGTTTGGATATATGCCTGACTTGTATGCCTCAATGACAAATTAGAAAATTAACTTAAGCGCTAATTCTAATGCTTTTAAGGTCAGTAAATAAAGACCTCTAGGAAATTTTCCTTTTATCATTCCAGCCAAAAAGAGGGACATAACCACGTAAAGGAATGATTAAGCGTTGAAGACTTGTCTTCATTAGCTTTTCTTAGAAGAAAATATATTTGCTTTGCTTTTCTACTCACTATAAAGGAGATTTGGGATACAATTTTGAGCTTTCTTAAGGACTGTTTCATGAAATATTTTTTAGTCTTTCACATACTTAATTTGGGTTGGGCATTTCTCTAACCGTATAGCTGGATGGGATGATACTTTCTATCTGTGTACAGTAACTAGTGCTGTGTAGTAACTAGGCAGGAGGTAAGATTAAAATTTTGTAGCACTTATGAGGAACTACTTCGTAGGGTTCTTTTTAAAATGTAACTTTTTGTTTGACTTTCACCTATAGCATTTTATTTCACGCATAGTTGTAGGATTTTATCAGTAAGATCTTCATACTTTTGAATAGATTAATGGATTAAATAGAGACTTTGTTATTTTGCTGTCATTGGCCTTTGTAATCTTCTGCTTGCTGTGGTAATTACTGTATGAAATACGGCCGCAAAAGGATAGTTGTTCGCTTTTAAGTTTCATCTAGGTTTTAAAATGTTATTGATATATTGTATTGACCTTCTGCTGGTTGCTGTAATAAACTTCGGCTGTTATTTTATTGGAATTGAGTAAAATGTTCTACCAGGTATAACCACTCTTGACTTATTTTGGCTTCTAAACTGCTGTAAACATTTAAAAAATCTTTGTTCTAAAGTGTGCGCTGCAGTCTTAATTGCATTTGTGTCCTTTGAAATTCTCTGTAGCCTTTGTATTTTCCATTTTCTTCTATTTTAAATGGTCCTACTTTAATGAAGCTTTTTTTCATGTATGTATTTTGGCTAAGCACGGTGTAAAGCTATTTCAAACCTTGTGAGATGTTAACATGTCTTAAAAGAAACTTTAATTTGGGGATGGGCAAGAATAGTTAGTGAAACTATAGAGTTCCTTTTTTCACCAGATGAATTTAAGGATGGAGAATAAAGTTGAAGGGGAGGAGGCAGAAAGGACTCTGCTATTCTTTATGGGTGCTGTTTAATTCTTAAATTGAAGGTTTTTGGATGTAACCAAATTGAGAACAGTTGCTCCCGGGGAAGACTAATTTGAACTACTTCCAAATTTCTACATTACTTGAATTCAGAATTGAGAAGAAAGCAGTTCTGTTTCACCCTCTATAATGTGTATTAGTTCAGTTTAAACTGGGATTTGTACTCAAATGTAATAGTTATTAGCCTAATATTTAATGATTATAGATTTTTAGATTTTAACCAAAAGTAAGTTAAACATTTTAAAATTCAGTTATTCAGAATACATTTCTGAGGAGCTGTCGTATGCCAACAAGGAGGAATTCAAAATTTAGATAGTCTCTACCCTTAGAGTGCACTCTAGTAGGAGTGAGAGACAACACTGACAGGTCTTGTATTGAAGAACCCATCCTTTATGGGTTGTCTTCATCTGTAGAAGTTTTGTTGGTGGGAAAATGTCAAAAATTCTGTGAACTCCCGCAAAGTTTATATTGTGTGCATTGAAGTAATAGGTATTTTGCTTGTTCGGGGACCAGAAGCTCTTAATTTAGAATTTAGTTACTGGCCTGGGAATGACAGCAGTGCTGATTAAGTAATTTAACTACCCAGCTTTAAAATGAAAATGTATGTAGGTAGTGGCCAGAAAAAAATTCATTTAGAAGTTATGGACCCAGACATCCTCATAAGTCAACTTGCCTTTATTTTGTGAGTTACTATACTTTATATTAGTTACTGTATATCTACTCTGGTCAGTTGTTTAGCCAATTTGGAAAAAAAGTTTATTAGACAAATATCAGTGAAAACTGATTTCCAGTAAATGTATGTTTAATAGAAAACCCTCTGAGATAAGTCTGTAAGGTCAAGAATGAGGTGGGTAGAGATTCATTCAGGAATTTGGGTAGAAGTGTTTAGGGAAGCTAGAACTCTTCTCAGTTTCATTATTTGTGAGTGTAGTCATTCACCTACCTATAAATTGCCTGCTTTGTGGTTTATATGGCATATTTTTAGTACCAAGTTGGCTTCCTTACCATTAATTGAGCTTTTTACAGACCAATTTTAATATTTCAACTCAGAACGTGATTAGACAAAATTAGAAAATGATAAATTTTCTGAAAAAGATAAATACATATTAGATTATCTGCTTTTGGATTTTGGTGCTAGCTTTTTCCTTGGTATAGAATAAATTTTGTAAATGTAAAAATGTAGCTTCCCCCCACTTACATTTTTCTAAATGAAATTATTAAATTTAAAAAAATTTTTAATAGAGGGGCTATGAAACAGGTGGCCTTTGCTGAGCCATTCATTACTAGTAATATCTTATAATTCTGGTATGGTATTACAGTTCTAGGACTACCATTTTGGACCTGTCAGAATGAAGACTGTCATTCCAATAACGGTATACAGTATATCTATGGTATTACAATTTTATGGAGGTGATGAGGGAAAATATGTCTAAAAACAACTCCTTGAAGGGAAGGGGGACCATGATAATGAAAAAAAAAAAGTTGAGAAACATTGCCTTTAAAAAGGAAATAACAGAATTTTGGCTATCTTGCTATCTATGTTGTTTTTAAGTGTTTTTTCTGCCTCGGCAACAACCACTTGCATATCATGTAGAATAATCTTGAAATGTAAAGTCTTGTAAGGCTACCTTGCCTTTAGAATGATTGTAATGATTTAGAATGTAGGGAATGAAAAAAGTTACTTAGTGGATTTTTTTTTTTTAACAAACCCCAAGAGCTGTTGCTTACTGGAAGTTACATATAATGTGCAGCTCCACTGGTATTTAGCTACTGTGAAAAGTAGTTAGGAGTGGGCAGCATTTGGTGTTGAAAATAATTGGAGGGGCACTGTTGTTATTTTCTTGTTTCTGAATGCCATTAAACTTTCCTAAAGGTAATAATTGAAAAGACTACATGGTAAAACTTGACTCTGTTGACCAATTTCTCTTTGACAAAGTAGAAGCCATTTTCTTTGTTCAGTAGACTTTCAGAGCTTGCTTTTGTATGACCTTTGATAGATGTTTTGCATAATTTCAGAATATGGGTGTTTTCCTCCATTTTAAAGTGGAACAGAAAGGATGTTTTTTCTTTTTTTTTTTTTTATGTGGAGGATAGGTGTGATATGCTGAAGCTGAAAAGGAAGATTACTGACTGATAATACAAAAAAAGAGTGTGTGCTTTGGGTTGCACTTGAGTAATGGCAGCAAATGTATTCAGATTCATTAATATTTTTTCACCACATCCAAATGCATACCGTTGGGGCTAGAAGTACATACAAGCTGTGGCTTTGGAACAGAGCGAAGCTAACTGGTCCACATGGAGATCAAACCCCAGGACCATGGTCTCAATTAGCATCATACTTCAAACAATTGGAAGCAGTCCAACTACCAGACAAAATGGCTGATCCTTAATATTTGGTAGAATCATATCAATATGGAAAATTGGTTGGTGTCAACATAGGAATTCATGGACGGACAAAAATAGTAAGTGATTGTGGTTCACCAGGTTAGTGTAGCTGCAATTATGCTTGCAAATTACTGTCTACTTATGTAAACATTTTCTTAGATTTACAACTAATGAAAAATCAAGTAATATGTTAACCAATTTTGTGAAAGTGTAAACGCCAATACTTTTATTTTAGTCATACTATTAATAACCCTTGCATTCTTTTTTACTCTCCCTCAGACCATATATTGTGATTATAGTCTCTGCTGAGGAGGATGGAAACACAGCTCCCTTTGAATAAAGATAATAATAATTCTACTTGATGTACTGAATTGGATTGCAAGAGTTTAAAGTGTCCACTACCCCTTGCGGGAAGCTTTTTAGTATCTTAAATGTATGGAACCATTGCTGCAAACAGGCCACCTGAAGCTTCAGCTACACTGAAACTTCATAACAAAACTCACTCTCCTTTTTATAATTTTCACTGTCAGCTGCAGTTTGAGCATGTTAGTTTAACAGAAACTTGGTTTTGAAAGATTATTTTGGTATTGCTCTATAAACAAAATAAAATTATGGCATTATTCAGTGACTCGTGGTCTTAGTTTCTACCCATTGCTAAAGATGGCTTTGTTCTCTGACTTCCCATGAGATCTTGGGTCCCTTATTAAATAAGTCTTAGAAACATTCTGCCTTGTAACAAATTGTTATGTAAAGATTCTGTTATATACTTAGTAAATTGGTTAACTCAGTTATGCAGAAGATGACCTAAAGATGACTACAAATTTCAGGTCCCTTTGGCTATGTGTAGAAACATTTCCCCTTCTAGCTTTTTTCTTCTTTTTCTCATTATTAAAAAAAAAATCTTACCCTGGCTCTCTTCTGAATAAAAAACAATAGCTATGATTTTGGGGGGTCTATAATTACAGTATTTTGTTCATCTGTTTACAGTCATTTTGTAGATACTTTTATCTGGGTCATTCTCTATTCCATATAATAATACTCAATTATTATCCATATAATAGTAATCCCTCAAACTGTTAGCTCCTTCCCATGTGCCATTAGTGTAACAGTTTATCCTTAATAAGTTGTTTTAATAGAGGATACGAATTATGTCTGAACTCTTTAAACTCTTTAAGTTTGTTTTTTGTAATTGTAATTGCCTCTTCCTTTATTATCTCAAATATTCTTTCTATTTCATAAGGATAAAATAGTTCACATCAATTTAAATACTTGGTGGTAGAAAGAGAGGAAGATAAATACAGTTTTTCTTCTGATTATGTCTAATGAAGCCTGTGGCCCAGTAATGTTTTTACCAAAGGCAATTTAAATGGTGTTGAGTGTTGTGCCAATAACTGCATTTCATTTTTCTTGTGCTTATTTACGAATTGAACCCTCCTCTTTGATTTTTCTCCTTTTCTGTTACATACCTGTTTCCTTTTCATTTGCCTCTTTGCTTTATATTTAGGCATGTTAGTGGTGTCCACTAGCATTGCTATTAATTCTGCTGGTGACTCTCTTAATGTCAAAGCTTTCCTAGATCTTTGTTCATACCACTTTTCTCTTGCTAATTGACTAGACACCTCTTGCTAATTGACTAGATTTCTCAGAAGTCAGGTAAGCATTAACTCGTTGTTGACTGAGAAAAATAAAACTTGCTAGATACTAATTTTTGGAGAGTTGTATTTACTGTTTCTCTTTCCCTTGTTCATTTGTTTTGACATTTGGAATTATTTACATACCACATTTCTTCTTCTCTTCCCTCTGGCTTAGCTCGCTATGCTCTTTTCTAAAACTAACAGCTTTCACAGGGTTGGGAAACAAGATCCTGAAATACCATAGAAAATAATACTTGCAATGGCTGTGAGTTTTGTTTGTGATATTTTGTGTCATTTTTCTTTAGGTACATCTATTTGTATCTATGTATTGTTTTTAAAAGTTTTATTTCCAAGGAAAGTTTTATTTTATTTTGTCTACGTGTTGTTCTTTTCCCAGGGGAACGTTATTTCCTATGTTATAGTAAATATCACTGGGAAATAGGATTCATTGTATAGAAATTCACTTGGTAGGCATCGCAACATTCAAGAACACATCTGTGACATAAAGTAAGAGAAGATTTGTACTGAGATCTTTGGGCCTTTTTCTATTTTCTGCCATATTTTTAAAACAAAATAGGTGATGAATTTGTATTCAAGTCTAGTAGTAGTCTGACTAGTGTATAATGTAGAGCATTATTTCTGTATCTCAGGAAGCTGAATATGGTGGGCATGATCAAATAGATTTGTATGATGATGTCATCTCTCCATCTGCAAATAATGGAGATGCCCCAGAAGACCGGGATTATATGGATACTCTGCCACCAACTGTTGGTGATGATGTGGGGAAAGGAGCAGCACCAAATGTAGTCTATACATATACTGGAAAGAGAATTGCATTATATATTGGAAATCTAACATGGGTAAGTAAACTTAACAAATGAATTAAATTTGGTAAATAAGTTTGAACTGTTCTAATAATGTTTTTCTCCATTTGTATAAAATAAGTGAAGTTAATAGGTTGGTTCTGTATGCTTGCTTATGCATTGAAGAAGGAAATACAGATAGCATTAAACATCTTAACTTACTACTTAGCCATCTCAGTTTTACAAAGAAAATGCTCACATAAGATCTTAAATCAGGATTTAGAACTGTGGAAAGAAAGAAAGAAAGAGACACAGTACAACTCCTAGTTTTAAAATTTTTCACTATCTAATTCATATTATAGACTTTGCTGAGTTTCATTTCTGCTCTTATATTTGAAATTTGATTTAAGGAAATACTGCTACAGTATTGTTCATGAGACTATAGATTATTAGTTGGGAGTCTCATTAACTGGATGTTCAATGTATCTATAATTTTATTAGCATTAAAACTTAAATATTCACTGAAACCGTCCTGTAGAATTTTTACATCTCTACTTAGAAACACTTTTACATATACTTGAAAGTTTAAAAATTGTCTGGAAATCAAGACTTGTCACCCTTCCCCTTCCTTAATAGTATTTTATTTTAAAATGTTTACATTTTTAAGTAACTAATTGGTCAACCTCCAACCACTTAGTCTGAGCAATTTTGTAATATTGGAGATAGTACCAGTGTAGTTATAAAAAGTGGTTGTAAGACTGAATCTTAGCTTCTCCACCTATTACTTTTGTGACCTTGGAGAAGCTCTTTAGCCTCTATTGCATCATGTGTAAAATAAGAATAATAATAGGACTTAAGGGGTTGTTTTAAGAGTTAAATAGTTAACATAAAGTACATAGTAAATACTCAATACCTGTTAGTTTTTTCCTTCTTATATTCAAACATAAGATGGAATTTATTTCCCTAAACAAGTTCCTTTAAGGAGAAGTGGACAATTGAGATTCCTTTTATTGAAAATTTAAAATAATAGCAGTCTAAAGCTGACGCACCAGAAATTCTTGAAGATTTAAAAAGAAATTTATCTTTAAGGGGGTGATACACTTTCTCATTTCTGAAGCCCTCATCAAAAGTTGAAGTTATAGCCTCGGGTGCTATTTAAAATGGGAGGCTTTGGCACTGAAATGGGAGTCACTGGCAGTGACTGTACCTACATTTGCGCTGAGCATTGATTTTTCTTTTTATTGTGAATTTACTCTTAAAAACTAATGAAACTATTAAATCTTGGATTTATTTCGATGGCTAATGAGAGGAAAATGTCTTACAGTGGACAACAGATGAAGACTTAACTGAAGCAGTTCATTCTTTGGGAGTAAATGATATTTTGGAGATAAAATTTTTTGAAAATCGGGCAAATGGCCAGTCAAAGGGGTAAGAATTTTGTTTTAATCTTTATTTCTTCTAGTGTATACTAGTAGCTAGTGACTAAAATTTTGGGGGTAACTTTCCTTGCAGTTAATGTTAATTATACACATGATACTTTATTATTCAATTGTCAGAAGGTTCTTGGACAAAGATTTGTATTCATTTCACTTATCTATGATCTAGCTCACTAAAACTAATAGAGTGGAGGTATAGACAGGTCAGGTTTACTTAATTTTCCTGAGTTTTTCCCAGTTTTTGTTGAAATGATTATTGAAATGGTAGTCTGAAGAAATGTTACTATCCCTTTGATTGAGTGATAAGGAAAGATGGGCAACTGGAAAATAATGTGCATAAAATAGATATTTTGCTTTACTTCGTTAAACTTTATTTTCTCTAAACTGTACAAATGAAGTAGGATTATTATAGGAACAGAAAATACAGATAAGCCAAAAGTAAAAAAATGAAAAGCTACAATCTCACCATGTATAGATGATCACCCTTAACAGTTTAGTGAATATACTTAGAGGTTTTATCCAAGTGCTTATATCATATTCTTATTGAAAAAAAATGAACAGGATTATAATTCATGTTTTATAACATGTTTGATACAAGGAGTAAAGCAAATATTTATCAATAAACACATTCTCTCTAATGTCTAATTCTTCCCATCATACCTTGTATGCTACTGTAATTTATTTTACCATTCTTGTTTTTGGTTATTTGGGTTTACAGTTTTTGCTATTATAAATAATGTTGTGGCTGGCATCATTTTATATAATTCTTTAAGTGCAGATTCTGGATTTTTTTAATAGGATAAATTGCTAGAAGCAGAATGATAAAGTAAATAAGCCAAAATATGCTTATTTTACGTTGACCAGTGTGCCAGTTAAACCAAGAATATTTTCAAAATGTGTGCAGAATCTCACCGCTTCTAACAAAATTCACTTCTACTACCTGGTCCGAGCTACTGGTCTCTTGAACTTTTGCAATAGCCTCCTTGTGTTCCTGCTTTCACCCTAATCTCTTACAGTCTGTACTACCACACACAGTAGAAGATGGACTAGAGTAACATCAATATTTGTCTGCTCAGAATCTACTGAGGCTTCCTCTCTCAGAGTAAAAGCCAGACTGTGGCCTGCAGGCCCTATGTAATGTTTCCCACCATTACTTCCTAGCATTCTTTGCCTTCTTATGCTGTTTCAGCCCCATTAGTCTCTTTGCTCTTCCTCAAGTGCATTGCTACTTAGAATCTAAGCCGTTTCTGGGTTGACTTTCCCCCTAGTTATCCACATGGATTTCTCTTTCCCTTCATTTAGAACTCTGTTTTAGGAGTTACCTTCTCTGGCCTCCCATGCAGAATAGCACCACTCCCATCACTCTGTTTCCTTTTTTTTTTTTTTTCCTTTATTATGGTACATTTTACTTGTTTATTGTATTGTCTCCAGCTAGATTGGAAGCTCCACAAGAGCAGATTTTTGTTGTTGTTTACTGTTGTATCCCTGGTACTAAATGTGCCTGGCATGCATTAGGTGGTGCCCAAAAAACATTTGTTAAATTAATGAATTCATTAAATTTCTTCCAAATACTTTGACCCAAGATAATCTTGGATCAAATAGCAGAATTTGTTAACTATAATAAGGGATCTGGGCCATTCTGAACATTAGGGAGAGAAAAGTTCTAAGCTTTTAAGAGCCCTGCTGGAAATAACCTGGAATATCCTCAGCTGTACAAAATGGCAGTCATTTGTTTTGTTTCTGTTTTTTAATTTATTTCTTAATTGAGATATAGTTTACATACATACCATAAAATTCACACTTTGAAGTGTCAATTCAGTGGTTTTTAGTGTATTTACATATCGTGTAACGATTATCACTAATTCCAGAACATTTCATCTCCCCCAAAAGAAAACCCATACTCATTAACAATCTGTCTCTGTGGATTTGCCTATTTGGAGCACTTCATATAAATGGAATCATATAATATGTGGTACCATGCAGCTGACTTCTTTCACCTAGCTTGTTTTTATGAATGTTGTAGCATATATCAGTACTTAATTATTTTTATGGTTAAATAATACTCCAGTATATGGATAGACATCTTTTTAATACATCCATCATTTGATGGACTTTGGGGTTGTTTATACTTTTACTGTTATGAATAATGCCCCAGTGAATATTCATGTACTAGTTTTGTATCAACATATATTCTCAATTCTGTTAGGTGTATGTATACCCTTAGGAATGGAATTATTGGATTGTATGTTAGCTCTATATTTAACCTTCTGAGGAACTGCCAGATTGTCAAAAGTGGCTAGCACATATTACAGTACCATCAGCCATGTATGAGGGTTCCAGGTCCTCCACAGCCTCACAACACTTGTTAACTGTTCTTTTTATTATAGCCATCCTAGTGCATGTAGAATGGTATCTCATTGTGGTTTTGATTAACCTTTCCCTGATGGTTAAAGATGTTGAGCATCTTTTCATAATAAACAAAAAGTGGAAACAACCCAAACATGCATCAACTGATAAATGGATTTTTAAAGATGTAGTATTTAATGAAACATTATTTAGCCATAAAAAAATTAAATACTGACAAAAACCTTGAAAACGTCATGCTAAGTAAAAGAAGCCAGTCACAAAAAAACATACTGTGATTCCATTTACATGAACAAATACATAGAGACAAAATGGATTAGTGGTTTCTTAGGGTTGGGTGAGGGGAAGAAATGGAGTGACAGCTAATGGCTTTGGGGGTTTATTTTGGGGTGATGAAAATGTTCTAAAATTGATTGTGGTGATGATTATAAAACTGAATATTAAAAATTACTGAATTGTACACTTTAAATCAGTAAAGTATATGGTATGTTGTTACTTAAAAAAGTTATAGATGAAAATGTGAGCTTGTATAGATTTAAAACTTACTTTCAGTTTTCTTAGATAAGAGTAAATTCAGGCGTTTCCTTTTTAATGACAGTAACATGAATCCCTCACCTCTTTAAACATATAAACATACAGGTTTGCCCTTGTTGGTGTTGGATCTGAAGCATCCTCAAAAAAGTTGATGGATCTGTTGCCTAAAAGAGAACTTCATGGTCAGAATCCTGTTGTAACTCCATGCAATAAACAGTTCCTGAGTCAATTTGAAATGCAGTCCAGGAAAAGTAAGCAATTCCTCAGAGGCTTTTATTAAAGATGTGCATTTTAACCACTTTTACTAGCATTTGCCAGATGTTATTCTAGAGATACTGTCTTAATATTTAGTTCCTTGAAGAATCCATTTTAGAAAGTCCTTGCTTTGAATTTAATAGCTGATTATGACTGTGGTCCTATGTACTAGAAACCTCCCATTTTTCTCTAATTGTCACAGGCTAAGTATTATACAGGTGTACAAGTTCTCTAGTCCTGCCATTCTTGTCCTGTCATTTGCATCCTAGAGAAAAGAAGAAACTACATTCTAATCCTTAGATAGAAGGAAAGTTATGTGGGTGTATGTTGTGGTGGGGGAGAAACCAATGATAACCAGAAAACACTCGTTTATTTTCTACTTGGCACCAAGACCTTTCACCACTTCGTAAAGTGAATATAGAAAAGGTTTGCCATTATACACTTAGGAATGGTACCACTTAAAGAGGTAAAGTAGATGGTCATATAATTAACAAATTCAAGTGGCAATTTTTCTTTGAATGTTTTAGCACACAAGACTTAATGACTGTGAGAAAATTTAAATGATGTATGCTTAGTGAAAATCTGATTTCTATTGGAGAATTTTGGTCTTGGCTGCTGCAGAGTACTAGTATTTTGAAAGTAACTCATACTTAATTGTTGGAAATACATTTAAGTCTGGATGCTTTGAGACTTCAGAATTAAATAGATGTGAATGTCACTTGGACAGGCCCAAGGCACCTGCAAATTAGTATACAGTGTAAATGAACTTTGATGTAGGGTTGTTTCTAATTACAGTGGTTACATTTCAGAGAACTATTTTAATAAATGCTATTTATGAGTATTTGGATATTTGCAGCTACACAATCAGGACAAATGTCTGGGGAAGGTAAAGCTGGTCCTCCAGGAGGCAGTTCACGTGCAGCATTTCCACAAGGTGGTAGAGGACGGGGCCGTTTTCCAGGGGCTGTCCCAGGTGGGGACAGATTTCCTGGACCAGCAGGACCAGGAGGGCCACCCCCACCTTTTCCAGGTAAAGTTTTTTTTAATTACCATGGATAAAATGTGTCTACCTAATACCTCTTTCCTTTTCTCTCTTTTTCAAGTAATGCATTATTAATGTGACTTACTCTCCTTGTTATGCTATTTTTGGAATCCAGGAAATTTGATCAAGCATCTTGTTAAAGGAACTCGGCCTTTGTTCCTGGAAACTAGGATTCCATGGCATATGGGGCACAGCATAGAGGAAATACCCATTTTTGGCCTAAAAGGTCTTTATTTTTCTCCAAACTTGCTTGACTTATATATAGAATATTTACATCAGTCTTATTTTCTTACTTCTTAAAAAATCCTTTCAAGACCATTTTTCCTTGTTTCACTTTCTAGCTTGGCATCAGAGTAGAATATAAGGTGGGTGATTTCATTGTAAGAAGCGTGTGTGCACTGAAAGATGGATACTAAGCATTGTAATCTTTCATAAATGTTTTAGTAATTTTTCTTAAGCATAAATTGAGCTAGTTAAATTTGTAAGGATATACTTCACCTTTGTAGTTGCTAGTGTAGCATTTACCATATAGGTTTTATTTAAAGAGAAAGAATCTTGGTCTGTGAATTATGCTTTAAAAGTATAATTTTGGCATGAAAGTTAAAATGCCTTATTGAAGTATTTTTTTTCTCTCTCTCCTTTATTCTTTAGCTGGACAGACTCCACCACGTCCACCCTTAGGTCCTCCAGGCCCACCTGGTCCACCAGGTCCTCCACCTCCTGGTCAGGTTCTGCCTCCTCCTTTAGCTGGGCCTCCTAATCGAGGAGATCGCCCTCCACCACCAGTTCTTTTCCCTGGACAACCTTTTGGGCAACCTCCATTGGGTCCGCTTCCTCCTGGCCCTCCACCTCCAGTTCCAGGCTACGGCCCACCTCCTGGTCCACCACCTCCACAACAGGGACCACCTCCACCTCCAGGCCCCTTTCCACCTCGCCCACCGGGCCCTCTTGGGCCACCCCTTACACTTGCTCCTCCTCCGCATCTTCCTGGACCACCTCCAGGTGCCCCACCACCAGCTCCACATGTGAACCCGGCTTTCTTTCCTCCACCAACTAACAGCGGCATGCCTACATCAGATAGCCGGGGTCCACCACCAACAGATCCCTATGGCCGACCTCCACCATATGATAGGGGTGACTATGGGCCACCTGGAAGGTGAGTTAGTATGCATCTGTGACAATAGTCTTGATTTTTCTGTTAAGTAAACAATAGTCTACGCTCCGTCACTGAGAATTTTTTTTTTAATTACGGTCTTTTCCTCAGACACTCAATTTTCTGTATTGTCTTCTTCTTAGAAGAGGCAGTATTGTAGGGTAAAAAATTGAACAGGGTTGGAAATTATCCAACTCTGCCACTTACTTATCCATGTGATTTAGGGTAAGTCACTAAATCCTGAGGATTCATTTGCATCATTTTTCAAGTTAAAAGTGGTTAATAAAGATGATTCAAGTAAGCAAATGGAATTATTAAGCTAGCATTAAGATTTCAGAATCTCTCATTTACCATTGATGGCACTAACTACATACAACATTAAAGATTTTTCATTGTTTTAGAAGCCAGGTAAGTTTGTTAGATGGTTACTGTTGATTATCTCATGCTGATCCAGAGTCCTGAGTAGTAAATTACTAACTTTTAATTAAAACGGGAACATTTAATAATTTGCAAATATATTTGGGTGGGCAAGTGCTTGTAAAACACAGGCTTTGTGGAAGTTAATGGCAATTCTTAGAGAAAAGACTGGGGGGACACCACTGTTGAAACTAAGTAATCTCTTAGCTCCCTTTCAAAGTAATTTAAAATTATTCATACTCAAGCCTTAATTCGGAGAACTATGTTTATAATCCCCAAGAACTCTCTGGATTTGATTTGCCTCTTTCACTTTCTTTTGAGTTTATCATTTGATTTTGTACTTTTTAATGATAATTATTAAGCAGCTTTGTATTTCAGTTTGTCTGGTAATGTACTGCAGGAATGGTTATGAGCATCTGCCTAATTCCATATAATTGTGCCCACCCACAGCAGTTAATTTGATATTATAAACAAAGGCTATTGACAGCTACCTATCCTTAGAAGTTGCACCTTTTTGACTGCCAAAAATACTTTGTTTTCTTTAGAAAGTGGTAAACTGCCAAGTTAGTATAACTTCTGTTCACTTTAAGTTCAGTGAGCAACTGCCTATCAATTACTTACCCTAAGTGTGTAAGAGTGGGTTAGGTATCTTGGTTAGACAGTTTAAAATTTGAGTCTCATATCCTTTTCCTAACATTATAGAATTTGTGCAGTATCAGGTTTTCAAAAATGGGGAGAGGGATTACTATTGATTAGTGTTTTATGAAGCTTATTGAGAACTCATCTTCCATGGGATTTTTTTTTTTAAGGGGGGATAGAATGGGCACAAGTCTCAGCACTTAAGTTGAAATCATACATGGGTTTTTGAACAACTTGTAATTTGGTGTCAGGATGTTTATAAAGTTTTGGGAATAATAGTAATAACAATAATGCCTTAAAATGATACAAAAGGATAGATCAGCTATTTCCTCATTGCATTGCAAAGAACTATTGCTTGCCTCAATTCAGTGTCCTACCCTAGTAACTAAGATGGCAAAAATTTTGACTTTTCCTGTACTACACATATATAATTTTCAGAGTTGTCAAGCACCTTTAGAAAGTCTTGGCATTTCATTACAGTTTTTTTCAACAGATACATACACTTAAATAAATAACCTTTATTTACCAGATACTTTTCTTAGGTACTTAGTAGCAAACAAGATAGTCTAAAATGTTCTCTTGCCTGAAATTCTATTCATAAACATTTATTATCCTTGTATTGTGAGTTGGGCCCTGTGCATAGAGGATCTGAACATAAACCAAATTCCTGCCCTTGATTGTGTAGGGTTATATTCTTTGCTTTTTTTTACGTATATATAAATATATATTCATACATAACCGTGTGCTATATAATACATTACATCAGTACAATTTATTGTCTGTTTATTTTTTGTGTAATTCTAAAAAATATTTATTGTAGATATGTAAATATGTCATTTCTGGCCTCCAGGAAGACTAGGTTTCTAAGGTGCTAGTTTATTTCAGCTGGAAGATCCTGGTGTAAGAGTGTTTTGCTTAGACTTGCTCTCTTATAAGAGAAAAGAACATGCTTTGATGTAAAAAAGTAACAACCAGCTCAGAGGCACTTGTTAGAAGCAATTAATAATGAATTGTTTTATATTGCTATGACTAACTTAGAAAATCTGTTGAGTACGAGCTAAGGTTTATTTTGATTTTATAGGGAAATGGATACTGCAAGAACACCATTGAGTGAAGCTGAGTTTGAAGAAATCATGAATAGAAATAGGGCAATCTCAAGCAGTGCTATTTCAAGAGCTGTGTCTGATGCAAGCGCTGGTTTGTACATTTCTTCCAGTGTTAACATTTCTTATTTATGTTATTAGGAATGACCTAAAACTTTTACTACAGTGTTGAAGTTTGGTCATTTATATGTGGTAGTTATGTTTGTATTCCAAATTGTTACCTGTAGTCTATTTAAAAGGCACTGAAGGAAGCTGTATGTCACAGTGTAGTGGAAAGATCCTTAATTTCAATTTTTAGGTCTAGATTTAAGTACTGGCCCTGGCATTTAATGGTTTAGGAGCTTTAAGGCAGCTCATTTATTGCTATATTTACAAATAAGAACTTATATGTATTCATAAAATAAGCAAAATAACAACAAATTGTGCTGACATTCACATAAAAAAGCCTTTTCCAAATAGTTGAAACACTAAAAAAAATTAAGACATCTAATGTAGCCATTTTAAAGTGCATATTATAATTACCTCAAGTGGTGGATGGTATTTTGAAAACCAGATTTAATTTTAACCCATTTTCTTCCTCTCACAGGTGATTATGGGAGTGCTATTGAGACATTGGTAACTGCAATTTCTTTAATTAAACAGTCCAAAGTATCTGCTGATGATCGTTGCAAAGTTCTTATTAGCTCTTTGCAAGATTGCCTTCATGGAATTGAATCCAAGTCTTATGGTTCTGGATCAAGGTAAAACTTTTCCTGTTTTGTGTCTATTTAAAACTGCTACTCTACAAATAGAAAAAATAGTCCGTTTGGGGCTTTAAAATAGGACTTTGATTTTACTTACTACTGTTTTTTCAGCAACTAGAGTGATGTTTGTTTTGTTTTAAACTCTAAATTAAATGTCAGGTGTTCACTTGCTTAAAACCCTTCAAAGGCTACTAGTGACTCTTAGAGTAAGACTAAATGAATAGTAAATAATATTGAGGCACTGTATGGTATAGACTGTAGCCCCTGCCTATCTTTTTCAGCTGCATCTTATACCTCTCCCATTACTCACTGTTTTCTCTAGCCATATTGGATTCCTTTTTCTTTCTCCTGGCACATTAAGTACTTGACCCACTTGTTTCTGTACTTGATATTCCTTCTGCTGGGAGCCCATTTCCCTGGCTCTTAATATAGCTGGCTCTTGTCTCAACTCAGTGTAACTTCCTAGGAGGGATCTTCTCCCAGGTTATTCTGTCATTCTTTTGTTTCTTTCATAGTATTTTGCCATTATCTGTTCTTATTTATTATTAATGCCCTTTCTTTTCACCACAATACATGTTGAAAGGTAGAAGAGGTGGGTCTTACCTATCTTGTTCACTACAATATTTCTAATGGCTGAACAGTGCTTGGTGCAGAATGGATGCTAAATAAATATCTTTTGAACAGGGGAGTTAATGAATAAATGATCAATCCATTCCTAGTTTTTTAATTAAATTCCTTATTTTAACATTACTGCTAACCTTGAAATTTTACCTGTTTTTGAAAAGTAGATCTTTAATCTTCACAAGATATTCTTAGATCTGTCTTTAGTATACTTTATCTGGCGGTATAATCTTCTTCATTAAGTTAAGGCAAATGAGCTTGTCTTTGTCACAGGCCCCAACTTTATAATTATTATTTCTGGCTCAATGTAAGGATCTTTGTATCTGAACAAATTTTTCATAGCTAATGACCATATCATTCTTTTTATTATTAAAGTATCATTGATACTCTTATGAAGGTTTCACAAGAAAAACAATATGGTTACTACATTCACCCATATTATCGAGGTTCCCCCCCATACCCCATTGTAGTCAGTGTCCATCAGTGTGTAAGATGCCACAGAGTCACCACTTGTCTTCTCTGTGCTACACTGCTAATGACTATATCTTACATATTCTTTTTAAGTCCAAAGTAAGAACTTCTGCCTTGATCAAGGAACTTGGCACTTAATGATGTTTGCTAAATCTAGCTGTCTGATGCAAAAATGGAGATTTAAATTAATAGGCAGTTGTTACTTCCTTACTGTGAATTATGGAATTTAGAATTTCTAGCAGTGTTTTAGGCAGTATGCTTCAGTTAAATTACCTCTTTTTTTGTTTGTTTTATAAGACAGCTCTTAACACATTTCTCTTTAATAACAATGTGAATAGTATCCCAGGTTTTTCTAGAGATCATAATTACTAGGTCTCTCTGCTCCCCGTCATGGACCCCCAGCCCTTCTAGCAAACGTGTATGTTATTTGAAAGTTTCTTGGTGGAGTACCACTCATGCTAAACAAAGTTTTGGTTAGTTATAAATGTAAAATTGATATTTATATATAGGTTTAGGTAACCTGTATTGATAGTGGTAATTTTTATGTTTGTAAGTCTCATTGTATATTGAATGACTTTAAGAATTTTATATCTTAAAAAACAACCTTTTTTATAAGTATGGTCTTTAGTTTGTAACACAAGTCTTTTGAAATTTTCCCTCTTTTGCCTTTGTTTTTCATTCAGTAAACACTACATGTCTGTATTAGGCTACTAGTTATAATAGATGTAATAGATGCTATGATATATTGCCCTGGTGTGCCTGGTTCCCAATTTTTAGGTGAATATTTTTTAAAATGCAATTCATAGTTCATGTATGTAGGTAGGTTGATAAGTCATTGCAGTTCAGAATATCATAAGTCTAAACTAGATTTATAAAAAATTTTGGTGTTTAAAAATACTGAATCTTTTTAAGCTGTCCATTTATGGAGAGCATTAATTCAGTAATTTCTTTTAGAAGACGTGAACGATCAAGAGAGAGGGACCATAGTAGATCACGAGAAAAGAGTCGGCGTCATAAATCCCGTAGTAGAGATCGTCATGATGATTATTATAGAGAGAGAAGCAGAGAACGAGAGAGACATCGGGACCGGGACCGGGACCGAGACCGAGAACGTGACCGAGAGCGCGAGTATCGTCATCGTTAGAAGGTGGGTACTCCTTGTTCCTGTTGTACTTAGCATATGTATTATTAATAGTAATTGTAACTCCAAGGCTATTGTTTATACAGTATATACCTACATTTTAAATGGTCCGACTACTTGTTCTGAATTTAACCTTCCAGAAACATCTGAGAAAAATGATTGGTAAGTAATGACAGGTAAAAAAATGTGACTTCTTATCCTTTACTATTGTATTGCTGAGTTAATAACTTTTGGGTTTTAGATTGTTTAATGGTATTAAGAAAGCAGGAAAATAAGAGAACTCATTGTCTACTTCTAATATCTGAAAATTGAAATTGTCTTAATCACATACACAGTTTTCATATTTAAAATAAAAAATACAGGGAGTTGATTCACACACACACACACACACACACACACACACACACAAAATGTGCTTGGACTTTTAAATTAAATTGGAAGTTTCTCTCCTTAAACTAACTTATATTTATCCCTAAAACTCGAAGAATATCTAACTACCAGTATAATAGCTCACAATACAGGAGGATGTTTTTTCTCAGCATTGAAAGGTTTTTCTATTAAAAAGTTTTTAAGAAAAGACACTTTTCCTGGCATTTGGTTTTTGTTTTATAAAAGAAACAGTAATTTGCAAAGAAGATACGAAACTTTATTAAAATGGGTTCAGGGTACTCTATATCTAAAAGTTGTATCAGATCACACATCCCAGGTTAGGATAACTTTGAAATGATTTTCTTTGACCTTTCATTCATAAACCATAATCATTGTGTCTTTTTTCTGTATTTTAAAACTATTTCTTGTGTACATTTATCATAAAATGGGAAGAGTTGTCTGTTTATACTTCATTTTCACGTGTAATTTTATTTTTTATATTTGTGAACAGCATTTATTCATGTGAAAAGTGGGGGGAGGGCAGGTATAAGATTTATGCATGTGACAGTTTATTCTGTAAACAAATATTTTTTCTTTACATGTTGATGGCATATCCAAATTAGGCTAAAACAAACCCCTTGTAACTATTTAGATGATTATTTTCCATAATCATGGGAAGCATTGAACATTCAATCATGGTAATTATCCGTATTTAAATTGTTAAGGGTAAAATCAAAGACTTTTTCTCAAGTATATGTAATTCTGTGGCAGAATAGCAGTTTCTTTAAGCAAGTGAGATCCTTTTTGAATATAAGTAAAATGTAAAGTCTTACTTTTATGGTACACAAATGAGATTATAGTTTTAAGGGCTTTTTGAAGAGAAAAGGCCAATTTTAATACTTTTCTTTGCATTTCAAATATGCATCTTGAATATTTATCAAAACTAATACAAAGTTCTCCGTGTATTGTATTACAGAACTTAATGTAAATCTCAAAACATTTTTTTAACATGAGGCAAGACAGTTTTCACTTTTAAAAAACTAAGCTTATTGAAACTGATACTATTTTTGGATATAAGTAAGAATGTTGTATCATATAAATCTAGATACTAAATTTTGAAGATATAGCTGCCCACCTCACCCCCCAGCCCTCACCCCTAGGTTGAACACATCTTGATCCCATCTTTTGAAAAAATTCTCAGTGTCCATGAGTTCCTTAAGGTGAATTGTGGCCAGTTTACTACTTGAAATGCCTAACTGTATCAGCCATTTCATTTATAGTAAGGTCATACATGTTATATTTTTACTTAATCTTTGTCAGTTAGCAGCCAGCTTCTAGTAACTGAGGAAGGCATGATAACAAAACTCACATACATTTTCAGGCATCCCCAAAATTGAATGTGCCCATCAAGGGGCTTCTGAACCAGTTTGTGCCCAAAATTAATTAATGAATTTTCTTACTGGTTTTAAACTAGCATAGTCAACCAGGTTAACTCCTTGAAAAGCTCACTGTCAATTTTAAATACTTTGAATTGACTAACATTGCATTACATTCCTGTAATGGGTACACCTAACTTATATCATGGCTTGAGTTTCATTACATTCAGATATTAACTATGAATTCCTAACTTGCAAACTATTGTTGACGCTTTTTCTTAACCACTGATGTGTACCATACCAAAATGCCCATGTTTTGTTTGTACATTAATCAGAATTGAGTTGTAATATTGTTATGTGCCTTCATCCAAGCATTGCACATAAGCATTTCTAGTGCAAAAAATTCTGTTACCCTGGACTACTTGTACCTTTGCTTTACCAAACAGTATTTATTGTGGATATAGATGTACATAAAGGGGTGGGGACTGGGATTAAATACATTCAAGTAAAAAAAAACAAAAAACTATCTGCACATTTAATCACATCAAATAAGGTCTGTTGACCTTTTTAGGAGTTTTAAAATATGAGTCCTTTTGAGTTTTCATGTAAATCTTAAGTGGACTGAATGGAATGAGTAACTTGGAAGTTAAAGTGAATGTCAGTAAGTCTGTATACAAATAAAACAATAATGTAATCTATTATTAAAGTGATGATGAATGACTAAAGGGGCAACTTCTTAACTGGAAACTTAATGATGTTGGCAAACTGTTAATGTCTGTCCCATCTTAATTTTTTGTGTTTGAACTGTTGGTAATGTTAATTGCATTCTCTCATTTTAAAAATGTATTAGTTTTTCTAAGAGCATTTAGTATTCTAAGTTCAAATAGATAATATTTGAATGGGATTATCAGTATTGTAAATTTTCAGTATGTAAACACATTGTGCTTCATCTTCTGTAATTTCTGCCTGTATTCTCAGACCACTCTGAGCAAAACAAAAGTAGTAGAGTGTTTTCAGATTGTACACTTCTCACAGAAATAATTTTACTTTCATAGTTGAGTTTGTTTTCTTTTAGATTGTGTTCCTCTTATTACTTGTTTGGAACAATGCTACTTAGCACATTTCTGTAACAATTCAGTTTTTCTTTGTGTACTATAGAATAACGAACCGAATTATTTTTTTAAATACTCTCTATTCATGCTTTTCCTTTCCCTGAAATATGAGGTTTTACATATTCTCAAATCATTGCCCATTTCTTTGGTAGAATTTTTAAGTATCGTGTGGGATGTGGATTAAATAACTACTCTTTCCTCTGTTGTACTGCTTTTCTTCTACCATGAATTTCATGATCATAGATTTTATTGTTACTGCACAAGATTTAGGGGTCTTTGAATTCTTCATTCAGTTTATAGCTTTCCATTTGTTTGGGAAAAACAAAGCCAAAAGAATAAAAAGTTCTTATGTTAAAATGTTTCATCTCTTTAAGATTTAGAATTACTTTGAAGGTTATGTGAAAATTAAGTAACTCTTAGTTATCTGATGAATGATACTAGTGATGATATTTAAAATTTATTTCTGCAACTCTTAAGTCATCTGAAATCTGCCTATTACTGTCCAGCCCTGCCTGTATTTCATTGTGTTTTCCCATATATCCTAACTGCTCTGCTTCATCTGGGTATGCTAGCTCTCACCTCTACTGTAATTTTCCTTGCTTTTACTCTTATTTGCAAACTTGTCTGACTATATACACAGTTATCTTGATTAAAGTGACAGGAGGGTAGAAAGTGATTCCTTGAGTGTATGTATAGTGTATTTTTTGCTCACGGTGGTTTAAGAATATGGTTTTGTTTACAAATGATTAATGTTCCCTGTTCAAAAAAAAAAAGACCTCAGTGCCAGTGTGAGTCACCTTGCTCTCTCACCTTCATCTCAGTGTGAAATTTACTACCATTGTTCTAGTTTGTAAATTACATTGTTTTGAATAAATAATGTTTTGAACAAATATTTAGTTAGCGTTTTTTAAAGAAAACCTAATAACCAAAAAGGGGTTAAGGGTGCCATATATGCTATGCAAATTAGTCAACTATGGTAGCATGTTTTAACTTACAGTGAATTCTAAATCACATAAACAGCTTATTTTGCAGTGTCCATTTTTGTGAAATTTTGGGGCAAAGCTGAGTTTTCTTTGTGGCAAAGTTTATTTCTACTATTTAGTGAATTGCCTAGAGTAACAATCTTACATGTATTATAGTGTAATAAAAGGCTTTAGTTAAAATGAGGTAAGTACCATCTCCAGAGGTAGAAAAATGAAAATATGTTTTGGTAGTAGTAAGGGAATTTTTTGATGAATACCTACAGTAAACAATTTTGTGTGATATGCTCTAGTCAACACAAGAAAGGGTTGGCTTATATTTAGATACTTCTGTTTCTTTTGTCCATACCATCTCCATTCCTCTCATTAAGGATTTTCATATAAAAGTGAATTTTGTTTCACTGAGTTAATGAAAACACGTCTCTAAAATTATATAGAATCCATTAATTCAGTATATTAATGTGATACCTGTAAAAGAGCCATATCTAATGTATATTTTAATCTTGAAAGATGAATTTTCCATGAGTTTAGAAATACTTATGCTAACAGATTTGCTTAAATGAGTTTCTAACACTCATAATTTGAGTTGTTAGTATTGGCTTGATCTCACATTATTATCTCAAAATGCAAGTGCTTCTCTGTATTGAAATTTCTCTTAGTGCTCACTTCACAGACTTGATTAAAGAGCTGTAGATTCCATTTATCTTCTTATTCTTTTAAGTGTTTACACATATCTTTCTTTTATAACTGATAGCTAACCCAAGTAATTTTGTGGCTTTGACACAGATTTGACCAAATGGTATTCTGAAAATATGAGCATTGAATGTATTTGTCACTTTTAAGCTTCTTTTTGCTATCTTTGTTTATGGAGATGTCTACTTAGAAATTTGAGACTATAAAATATGGATTTGGATTACTGGAAATGGGTTCTATTGCCTTCAAATTCGCTTCCGTTTGAGATTGTAAAATTTGTATTTCCAAATGGATATATGTAAAGTGTTTAGAAATAGTCTGTCAGACTCTCCTTTAGATTTTATGTCTGTATGGTGAAAATGAGAGACTTACTAGTAAACATCTATCTATAAATATAATCAAGAAAAAGATGAGTGTATTTTCCTTGATAAAGATGTATGTTATAACTTCATAAATAGGCTCTACGTAAAAAAGTATAGAACTCTCCATTGAGTGATGAATATATAAAGTTGCAGTATATGCCATAGGTGTTTTGGAAGGGTTGGATATTTTTGTTCGGCTCACTGTGACTTTAAGTAATTCTTCCCTCTTAATGTCCTGATCTCTCTTTTTCATCCCTCCTAGCATAACAAAAAAATTGTGGGATAGCATTCTTTTGCAATTAGATTTATGATCCAGTAACTCATTTTTCAGATTAGAACATATTCTTTGTCTCTCTTTAACACCTTTTAATACCAGTTTTTAAAAGTGCATTGCAAATAATAAAAATAAAGCATATGAAAGCTACCTTTTTAGATTTTTTTTCATGAAATAATTCCACTTAAAGCTCCATCAGTGTGAGATAAATGTACAATAGAAGGTAACATTACCTTAAGTATGTCCTTGAAAAATCTGGGCAAATTGAAATTACTCATTTAAAAGAAAAAGTCCAGGATTATAACATCTGTTTTTATCTTTAGCAGTTGTAAAAGTTAGATTTTTGTTTCTAGGCAATGTGAATGCATATGTGTATTGATGTTCTTAAGATTATTATAGCCTAGTTGGGGAGGAAAAGACACAAAGTTTCTAGTTGTGAGAGAATATTGATTACTCTTAATTACAGAGAAAAAGGGATTTTTCTATTATTTTTAATGACAGAATATTATTAAATATTATGCCCTTTTGCCCCTTATTACATCATCTTATTGAAATGCCCTCTTGGAATTTACATTTTAAATATCTGGTGTTTCAGTGATCACTTATATACAAGTTAAATTGAATGTTTCTTTTGTGAACCTCTACCTGAAGTTTGTATATTTATGTATTTTTGAAATTTTAGTTTATTACATTTATTGGGGGTTTTTTTTAATGTCAGTTTTCAGTGAAATTTATCATTGTAGATTCCTATTGAGCTCTTCTGGTTAGTTGATACGTTACATTAGATATTTCAATACAGGTGGAATAGAATGAAAGTAAAGTAAATGTTTTAAATTTGTATTATGTCAAGATTTGTATGTGGATGTCATATTTATTAAATGTGCATACTGAACTATATATTTACAAATTTTGTAACATGGAGCACCATTTGGTTTATAACGTTTGCAGAAGTTCCTGTATGCTGTCAAATAAATACAACTAATTTGTAAAATAACTTTTTGCATTTTATATTCATTTCTCATTTAATTGTTAATGAGTTATATATAGAATTGATATGTGAGTGAAGGAAAATATTTACATTAAAATCAAGCATTTTTCTATTTATTTTTGTAGTAAGCATATTTTAGAAAATGACTTATAAATGTTTACATCATCGCAGAAACAGTAGTTGCTATATTTCATTTGTTTCCCTCATTAAATTATAAGGCAAATATTTAAGAAGAATAAAATCAGAATGTCTGAGGTTTAATCATCACGTAAATTGGGAGCATTTCTCCACCACAAAGGGCAGCTACTGTTTCAATTAATTCTTATTTTGTGTTAGAGTACATACAGTGAAGTAGATGCACGCACGACTTGTGTATGTATAGTTAAGCCAGCGTTTTTCTGTGTACTGTGGGGAATAGCAAAATCTACATCACAAATTTTGACACATTACAGCTGAAGGAAGAGGAACACCTTCCAAGACAGTCTTCATGGGGGAAAATGATGCTTGTCCAGCAGTTTGCTTCTTGTGATTGAACTGAACCTGTAAGGATTCATGGATAAAATGAACAGGAATAGATCTGAATAAAGCAAATCTGCATAAATGGTAACCAGTAGCTCTACTTTTATTTTTTATGTTGCTTAACTGTTCTATTTGAAGGAAACCTGTGTGATTTAAAAAGTTATAGCTTTTGCAACTTTATTACTGGTTATATACATTTGACCATTATAATGTGCAAGCAATTGGAACAAAATGTCAAGTAAATGCTTGTTTTTATAGTAGTTTGTTCTTGTTAAAAATGTTCATATGATAATGTCTGTAAACAGCACCACTTTGATTACAATAGATGTAGTGTTGTAATAAACTGTTTAATGGGGCTGATGTGTAAAGCTGTTCAAGTTATTTGATGTTTACACCTCAGGGAAAGTCTTGTGTTCAGCAATATCTAAATGATAATGTTACTCTGACATTTATACTGTCCTTTAAAAAAGCATTGCAATAGCATTTTTGGATATGCATCAATCTATATAATCTTGGCGTTCAGTGAATTAAACATACTATAAGTATCTCTTGCCCTTGATTTTGATATTAGAATAGGTGATAACATGGATATTTACTATTTCTATATTCTGCTTTTCTAGCTGTTTTTACCTAGTTAGCTTGTGATTTTGCTGAATGGTATGTTATCTTGTAAAAACTGAAATTTCATGGACATAGCAATCCAGTCAATGTGTTAGGGGTCAAAATTCTGTGGTTTTAACACTTTAGTAAAAACCCATACTTTATTTGCTATAGTGATGCAGCTTAATTATAACACAGATGTACTGAAACGCTTAATTGTAAACTGCTAGCATTGAAGAAATATTTTGACAATTCTGATTTGATGCGGCAGTTATTTGCTGTTTTATATTGATCATGCTTATGGTTTATTTTTGAAGCCATGGGCAGTGTAAATACAGCCGTGAAGCAGACAAATGTGAGTAAAGACAGCCTTAGATTTATTTTCCGGTTATTATAGATTTCTGAAAGGTGTGATGTTTATTATCAGGTTATATTCTCCTGTGTGTGTAATGGGAGAGTATAGGTGTACTCTATCTCCACACTTTAGGAATTTTTTGTATGTTCACCAACCGATTGATTCATGCTAGAGTTACTTAAAAGGTTTTTTTCAAACCTGCCTTGCATATAGGTCCACATTAAAAGCACCTGGCTAGCATGTGTTGTTAATCACAAAATCAGCATAGGCAGAGCCTCAACTTGATTAGAAATTTTTACAGGAAAGTCATTCGGAATCACTGTTTCAGAAATTTGAGGTAAAAATCCTTCAACAAGTTAATTTGTTTTTAATGTTTTTAAGATCTGATTATCTGTGAGATAACTTCTGGTAACACATATAGGCTTTTGAAAAGTATGGCCGAATTATAGGACAATGCTTAAAGTATTTAAGCACCCCAGATATTAATGTCATGTTCAACTGTGGAAGCCCTCCAGAGACCTACACTGCAGCGCTTCACTTTCATCTTGTGTACTCTCACACTAATTACAAAATTAGCTGCTTTAAATCATCCATATTATTGACAGTTTTGTTTTTCAAATGTTTTGTGACTAGAGTGTGCACGGGATCGTTGGTGTTTATCAGAACTATTTGCTCTCATATTTTTTAACTGTTCTGTCTTGTTGAAAATGCAGTTGCTTTTTTAACATTATTTGAGAGTTGTATCAAAATGAGTCTTCTTGTTTTGTGCATAGGTGTTGTTTTTGTCATTTCTTAGCTTTTTAATACTTTGATTACAATGCCCTAATGTGAAGAAGTATGGACATAAATACATTACAAGGGAAATTAGTTAATAGTAAGCTTAAAAGGTAAGTAAATGTCCATGAGAATAAATTTTTCTCTGAATAATTTTAAAATGGAATCATAAAAATCTGAGCTTGAACTTGAAATGAAGCTGGAAATTTTGTACTAATTAAATCCTTTACCTTTTCATTTTTTATCAGTGGGACTCCTTAATTGCTCATTCTATATCACTCTTCTCCCTAGCTGGCTGATCTCATTACATGATTTTTGTTGAAGACAATGTGAGTGTACTAGAATTGTTTGCTGCTAGTCCATTATTTTTAAATGTTGTCAGAAGTAATTTTTCTGTTTGACCTATTTTTGCAGTCTTTCTCTACCTGGTAACATGAATGTAGGGTGGTAAAGGTGAAAATTGCAAGCCTTATTTTATTCTTCATACCCCTTCTGTCATTTATGGACTGATGTTTTTTGAAAACTTTTTTTTTTAATGTGTAAAAACAATCCAAAGAAATAACTCTTTACACAGACACCAAAAAGAGAAAGAAAAGAGTTCCAGAGACATTTTCATTTCTTAAAATAATAATAATAATAATAATTGTAGTAGTGGATATAAAAGCCAATGAGTTTTAATTTTAAACCATAGCATTTTTTAGTGCTTTGCAGTCACATTTTTTTCAGCTATTAAAGTTAGGAATGATTTATACAGCACCTGAGTGGTATTGCTTCTGAAGCGACATTTTGATGTGCTGGTTTTAGTTAAAGGACATATTTGTGGAAGAGATATTTCACTGTAAATTTGGAAATGCTTATTTTGTTGATTTTCGTAAGAGTTGGAGTTAAGTTGCAGTGGCTGTTGATCATAGTTTAGCTGCTTAATGGCCCCTTACCTAGAACATTCTTAAGTAGTTAAATACAATTTGGAGTTCACAAATAACTTAGTGAATTATAGCATAAGGTATTATTTTCATTTAATTCTCCCGTGGAGAATATTCCTTTGTTTTTTACTAGTTTAAGGTCAGTTCTTAAACATGGAGGTTTTAATAATTGTATAACATTTTATAGTAAAAGGGGGAAATTGTTAGAAGGGTAAAGACTCTTTCCCTGTGTATTTAAGTGTGCCAATAACCTACATACATAAGGCTTTATACAATGAGATGCTACTGCAAGGCTTTCTGTTGGCATACTTTCAGCATTTTGGTTTTCATACCTGAATGACCATTGCATTTTTCTGTATCTTTTTCTGTATCTTCTTAAGATGCTCCAATTTTGTGTTTTAAGCTTTAGCTTGCATTAAGGGGGAGTTTACATTCTCATTCTTTACTGAGAATACAGTATTGAGATTCTTGCTGTTTTACAGAAAACTGCCTTTTGAATTTTATTAAGATCATTTGCATCCCATGGCCATCTGTAAATTTTTCCTGCAGTTGTATTTCAGTGCACGCTTATCATTTGTACATATTAGACATTTTTGTGCTAAAATATATTAAGTGAGATTTTTGTAGCAAAGCATCCTATTTTTCTGTTCTGTGTGTGTGTGTGTGTGTGTGTGTGTGTGTGTGTGTGTGTGTGTGTGTATGTTCGTGTTACTTCACTTTAACCTTCAGTTGAAACACTGGAGTATTTAATTTTTTAGCAACTTGACTCCTAGAAGCCTTAGACTAATTTTTTAAAGAAATATTCAACCAAAAAGTATAAATTTATTAAGATGTGGCCTTACATATAGCATTCCTTGTGTTTATAATGTGATATTTTTGGAGAAATCAAGAGGATTAAAATTTCATTGTAAGTTGAAATAGAAAATGTGCTAAAATGTCTAGGCTTCTGGGAGGAAGTTCTTGTACTCTTCTTTCTTGGCATTAGAAAGAAGCAGTATGAATTATTAATATTCAGAATATTGAGGCAGTTGTGTCCTGTTCAGATTGATTAATTGTCTTAACCAATGTTTCTTTAAAGTTTCAGGTTGTTGGCATTAACTCTGAGTGTGCAGCTCCTATGTTTTTTGTATGGGACGTATAAATACTTGTTTAGGTATAGACAGTTTAATGTTTTAAAGACTTCTTGATACATTAATTAACATTATAATGGGAGTCTTTTGAAATGGTAGGTATAGTTTAATTGAAGTCACACAAATAAATCTTGAAATGGTATCTGCAGATAGTAAATATTATGGAAAGTTTTTCATGTGAGAGTATCTTAAAACTCCACCATGTGTGCAGATGTTCTACATGAATTTCATAATTGGATAGACCCTGCATTTAGTAAAAGCATTTCATTTTGAAGTTGTGTTCTTTCTGTTGCACTGTTACTGGGTAACACTTCTCAGCATTCTGTAAGTTAAATAATTTTAAAATACAATGGTGAATTCGTGTTTATTTTTTTACTTTGAAAATTGTAGTACTCAGGTGGTATTTAATGGGAAAGGATCCTTTGGGGTTAATCATAATGTATTCTAAGGAATGCATCTATAACATTGGTGACTTTAGCCTTAAAAAAAAAGTTATATTCTTATTATTCCTTACCCTTCATCCCATGGTATATTAGCAAAGTAGTTTACAGCCTTGTACAGCCTTACAAAGTTGTTTTACAATTTTTAATGGAAAGCCCTTAACAAAAAGAAACTGTATCATATTACCAGTATCCATGAATTACTGAATCGTTTGTAAATAATTTGTCTAATACCAGACGGCCAAAGAAAGTCTTAAAACTAGCTATTGACTCTGTGGTGACTTCACAATAAGATACCTGTGCAAAAGGTAAGGTGATATTTGATCAAATAGACATCTTTTTGGTGTCCATGGCAACTAGACTTCCATATTAGCTTCTATTAAAAAGCTCATTCCATTTTATTAAAATGTTTGTATTGCAATTTTGTGTTTAAATGTTTACTTTCTGTCTTTTCTTTCTTTAGCATTTAGGTGACTGTTGAGCAGTTTGCTATACTGGCCACTGTTGGCCTTAAACTGCACTAGTAACAAGCATGGTATTTATCTTGTATTGAAAATAAAACACAGTTTTGATAATATTTTGCTGTTTGTCCTTTCATTTGATTCATAATTTGTTAACCATTGTATATGGATTGAATGTCTATTGGCAATATGCAGTATAACAAATTGGACTGTTATCTGTATTTTGTCTTTAAGCCAGCCTTCTAGGTTGTGGTTATTTTCTTCTGTATTGACATTTTGATTGTCTTTTAAAGCAATTGATGTCTGGCTAAAATTAGGATTTAAAAACTTAAAAGATTTCTAGGCTCTTTTTTTGTGTGTGACATTTTTCTTATTAAGGTATCACTGATACACATTCTTAAGGTTTCACATGAGCAACATTGTTATTACTACATTAACCTATATTCACCCATATTCAAGTCCACCCCCCCAGCACACACACCCCACTGCAGTCACTGTCCATCAGCTTAGTAAAACGCTATAGAGTTACTACTTGTCCTCTCCATGCTATACTTAGGCTGTCTTACTCTTAAAATAATGATTCAGAAAACATTTGTGTAGTTTTAGGAAATTACTAATCTTACTAGACTAATCAAATAAAAATGTCTAGTTTGCAGCAAAAATATTTCACCAGCTACTTTGGAAACTATAGAGTACTTTTAAAACAGTAAATAGTGGTGATTTCAAGGAGGATTTGTGTGCCAGATATTACATCAGGCCCCACCTATACACTTTAAAGTATAGTGAAGGTAACATTACTAAACAGTTTAAATAAACAGGATTAACTAGGAATCTTTTTTATGCCCGTGTTAAAATTGTGGTTCAGGTTTTGTTTCCCTGTTCCTCTGTTAATATGTTTACACTTTAAGGAAGGTGGTGTTCATTGAGTTAATTGAGACTTGCAGAGAGTATTTGAGTATTTGACTCAAAGAAAAGATTGTTAGGACATCTTTTAACCAGATGCCACACAAAATTCCAAAGGAGTCAGTCAAAGCCTGGGGCTTTTTGATAAAAAATTTGTAGGCAGAATTTTCCCAGTTTCCTAGCTCTTAGTCTTACTTCCTAAATATTACCATGAAACAAGAAATGTTACTGCAAATGGTTTCCAACATGCATCTTCATCTCCTTTCTATTCTCAACACAGTTCTTTGATTTTCATGCTAATATTAAATTGAGACCTGAAGGAGGAGTAAGAGTGAACTTGGTGAAGAGGGAAGGGAAAATACCCTCTAGGCAAAAAGGGGATTGCACAGAAGGCCAGTTTGGCAGAAAGCAGCATATTAGGAATTGGGAGGATGCCAGTTTGGCAGAAGTAGAGCACAAGGAGCATAGCCTGTGTACGGGGCTCAAGAAATAGTCAAGGGCCAACACTTTGTAAATCACGCTAAAGATTGTCCCAAGAATAATGTGGAATCATTGAATTGTGTGCAGTGTCACAAGTAGATTTCACATTTCAGAAAGTGTTTTACTTGCAGAATAATGAAAAGAATACATGAGGCAAACCAGCGGAACTATCTACAAGTGTTTTACTACAAGGAGATAATGGGGATAACAGGTAGAGAAAAGTTTATTTAGCAAAAGATTTAGGAGACGATAATACCTAGTGGAAGTTTGGGTGGGAGGATGACTCTTAAACCTTATGTAATGGTATGTATGCCATTGACTGAGATGGGAAACTGCGAAAGATGTGTGTAGGCTGAATTAAGTGCCTTTGAGATCCAAGAAATAGCAACTAAGTCATTTGGCTGTATGACTTTGGAGTTTAGAAGATACGTGGGTTAAAGCGATAACTTAGTAACAGTTAAAACCATCTAAATATGGGGAGAATGGAGAGTGGGAAAAGGGAAGGTGAGGGTCTGGTACAACTTGAGTTGAACTGATAAGTGACCATTGGGATCAATATTGTGAGAAGAACTAGCTTTGGACTGAAGATAAACACCCTCAGGAGGGAAGATGTGAATAGATAAAAATGGGAATTTGTAGGTTGTAGGTGGGGTAGTAGAAATTTTAAGACATTCCTGTCTAGTGACTTTCAAAGAATTAAGGGCATTGTGCAGTGGCTCATGGCTGAAGACTGAGTGTGAATTGATATTAATGATGTAGAAGAGTTGCTGGGTCATGGTTAATGCAGCTGAGGGTGATGTCCATTTTTGTAGCAGCTGTCCACTTACTAACATCCAGTCATCTAGGAGAAGGTAGGTAGTTGGATCAAGCTGTGGGATGAAGAAGGCATTAATAACTGCCTTCAATTTAATGGTTGTCAACCCAGTAGCAGAACAGAACCTCAGTTGGTTTTGCCAGGTGAGGGTCTGCCCATCAGCACTTTAAAACATTGCTGTTATTTTCTCAGACTTATTAAATCATTGTTTTATATTAATATTCTTTTACAAGTAAGCCAGTAGACTCAGGGATCATGACTAATAGAATGGTGAGTTGAAGTTAGAATGGGTTTTTGGTTCCAAGTCAGCATTTTTCAGTTTTTTAATGTTAGCAGACTAAGCCCCCAGTGCCCTGTGAACTTAAAAAGCTTTATCTAAATATCTGAACTGTTAGCATTTAGGAATATGTTGTACATATTCATTTCCACAAATATCAAGCATACCTACTCTGCAAGATACTGTGCCAGGTGCTTACATGTTAGGCCATGGCAGCTTATTGGCATCTTATTTTAAAAAGTCTCATGTAAATACTGGCACGGGTTCTACCTACATAATTGCTATAGCTGTGGTAGAGTTTTTATCATGTCTCTGTTCAAAATCCTACCTGTTAGATACGGTAGATGGGTTAACGTCTGTGGGAATGGTAGCATTGTGGAAATCTTGGCGTTGACTCAGGTATTACATCCCCCTCCCCCCAGTACAGTAGTAAAAACTTGAGTACTGCTGTGTGACACTTCAGTTTTTTCCCTAAAACTGGTTGTCATTTTTACTTCTTTATTCAGCTTTCCCCAAGTAGGGGGGGAATGACCTTAAATAAAAACAAAGTATAAGAGTTCCTACCCTAAGAACATACTCCGTTTATTAGAAAGCCATTTGCAGAATGTAAATACTGGAACCAATAGTTACTGACTGAATCTGGTGATGGCTGGCTTTTCAATGAATAGTGTATCCGTTGCAAACACTTATTGAAATCATTTTTATGGAATTCAGAAGTTATTTCAGGATTGCTGGCAATCATTCTACCCTAAGTGTGTAAACTTAACCTCTTTCATATTTCACATTACTTAAAAACATGGTAGGTATGTCTGTATGCTGGGAGACTGCCTACCTATGAACTTTTTAGCAATCTGTTTTATGTTGACCTTAGCTTATTAAATCATCTGAGTATCTGAATGGACACTAAAGAGGGGGAGATGAATGGTATGACTCCTGTCATCCCTATGGAAGGAACTTGGGTGGTGATCTACTAGAAGTTACCTTTTACCAATTGTTGGTCCCACTTTGTGCAAATTTTGAGGGTGGAACGTGTCCTCTTACCAGAAGTTGATCAGTTAGCATAAATAGGCAGGTGCAACAGGAGTTGAAAGTGAAGATTTTAATTTAAATTTTCATTATTCATTATTCCTTCCATCCTTAGTCTGCTTTGCAGTTTCTCTTCCTTTGCCTTTTAATTTGGGGTACTCTTAGGCTTAGTCACCCTGCATTCCTTGGTGCTCTTTTCCTGTCTAATGGCTTTAAGTATTAATAGGCTGTCAGTTTCTAAATTTATGTTTCCAATCCAGACCTTTTCCCAAATTGAAGACTTAAGTGCCTACTGGACTTTTTCCTACAATATCTAATAGGAATCTCAGACTTGCCAAGACTGAACTTTTACCCTCTCCTCCCCCAGCACCTGCTCAGCTCAGTCTTCAACAGCTAACATCACCACCATCATTTAAATTGCTTAGGCCCAAAACTTTGACTCTTCCCACACTCCATATCCAATACATCAGGAAATCTTAAGTCTACCACCAGAAAATGCCTGGAATCTGACCACTTACTACTATTTTCACTGCTTTCATGCTTTGCTTATATTACTGCAGTAATTCCTAATAGGTCTCCCTACCACCTGCCCTTTTGGCAGTTGTCATAGAGTTTTTATCATGTCTCTGTTCAAAATCCTGCATTGGCTCCCCATTTCTATCAGAGTAGAGCTTCGATCCTTGAAAGGTTCCTACATGATTTGACCCTGATTGCCTCTATGACTTCCTGGTACCCTCCACCACAGTCACTGCATTACAGCCACTCTGCCCTTGTGTTCCAGACAGGCCAGGCACAGTCCTGGCATAATCTGCATGGGCTGTTTCCCCTGCATGGATGCTTTGGATATCTGCATAGCAGTGTCATCTTAATGAAAATTATTTTCACCTTTTTATTGAAGAATGGAACTTGCTACCTCCCTTACACTGCTGTATTCTTTTTACAAATGTTTGTTACCTAACACAATTTGTTACTACTTAGCGTTGTACATGGTATATTTGTTGTCCATTTGACTACTGAGGCCCATGAAAGCAGATATCTTGTTTTATTTTCTAAGTTCCAAATACCTACATCAGTGTGTGGCACAGATGTTCAATGAATACTTGAATGAGTGTCCTGTATGTGCATGTCTACTCTACCTTTAGTTTATTCAAGTATCCCCCACTTTTCTAAAGTTTGTGTTTATGCCACATCACTTTTACCCAAGACCTACAATAGGAGCTGTTTACACTAGTCAAAAGAATTCTAAAGAGGATTTATGATTGTATGAGAAAAGGTGAAAAGTGAGAGTGTGTTCAGTGTTTTGCATCAAGTGGTTGTAGAGGCACAGCTCATACCCTGAGCAGCAAGAGTTAGACCACCAATTGCCTTCCCCAGGAACTACACATAGCATCAGGCCATCATAGCTTTTTGAACTATGTGAGTAGCTAGCTGTTCTTTGTCTCGATTTATTTTGTGTGTCTGTTAGCAAGCTGTGTCCTAAAGTGTCAGAAAAACCTAAGAAAAATTACTTCTAGACCTGTAAGTGCTCAGGATTTTTTCCATATAAATTCAAGGTCATGCTTCACTTTATAGCATTTTGGTTTACAAAAGTTTTCATAGGAACCCCCTCTACGTTC